TAGTGGACCCTGCCCTACCCCAGCCCAGCGTCTGACTATTTCATGGTCCAGGGGAAAGCCTGTACTTCTCCACCGCAACCATGTGAGCATTGCTGTGTCAATGGAGACATGTTGCATCCTGGGTGGGGGGATACTGTCCACCAGGGAGGAGAGTGGCCTAGGGAAGTCAGTCATCTGGGAGGAATGAGGGTGGCAGAGAGCCAGCAGGGAGTCAGTGACTTGGCCTGGGTACCTGCTCTCTGCTCTCCAGCACTGGGCTGATCCTTCTCAGAACCTCTGCTGGCTTTGCATGTCAGGAAGGAGAGGAGGGCGAGGCAGCTGGGAGGAGAGGTGTAAGATCCAGAGACTGGTCCCTTGTATTCTTGAGGAAGCAGCAAGAGGCAGTGTGGCTTGGACATACCCACAATCTGAAAACACATCACCGGCTACCGGGCTTCATATATGGCTCAGCCAGCAAAGTGCTTGCTGGACAAGCATGAGGACCTGTGCCTGAATTCACAGTATCTACATAAAAGCCTCTAATCTAAGGCCTGTAGAAGTGTAGACAGGGGATCCAGCCAGTCTGGCCAATTAGTGAGCTCCAGGCGATTGAGAGACCTTGACTCAAAAAGAAAAAAAAAAATTTTTTTAAAGATGATTGATGGTAATTGATAAAGACACTAAAAGTAGATATCTGGCTTCCAATTGCATATGTATGGACATACCCACATGAACATGTATACAACACACACACCATACACACTCATACATCACACAAAACACACACACACACACACACACCACCACCACCACCATGTTCCTCCCAAGGCTGTGTGCTAGGAACTCAGGGACACACACACTGTCACTGAGTCAGAGGTCCAATAGAAACATTCCCTGTTTGGAAGCCTAGGCAATGTTGCAGGGTGGGTCTGTGTGAGGACAGTCACAGGGTAGAAACTGTAGATGCTGGCAGAGTGCTCCCAGGAGGGAGGACTCAGAAGGGAAGATCCTAGGAGTCATTTTCCTGTCTCAGGGGTCCTGGTCTGATAGGAACTCTACATGCAGATAAATCCTGTCCCTTTGTGCCCTTGGTCATGAGAGCCACCAGGTAAAGACTGTGGTGACTCAGGGCCACCCATCCACACTACAGGAAAAACAGCTCAGAGGACATGCTCAGTGGGAGTGAGCCAGGAGTGTCCCTTCTTCTTGAGGGAGAGGAAGGTATGTGACTAGAAATGAATCCACTTAGGCCAATGGGTGATGGAGAAAGAGGGGCAGACGAGGGACGGCTCTGACTGGAACTAAGGAGAGAAGGGAGGAGCCCGTGGGCAGCCTCGGGTGAGCCTTACACAGCTAAGCCCCTCAGCATTTCTTTTGTCCATTTCCTTCTCTCTAGCCTAAACCCATGGTGACTAAGACCCCCTCTATGGACTTTGTATTCTTGGATTTCTGCTGTTCTGCCCACAGGCAGCAGTGGATGGCCAGTGAAGGGGCTACCTCACCTCAGCCTCCTCTTTGGCCAGGCCGTTCTGGTCCACATCTCCCTTGGTCAGTGCTGCTGGGATGAATAGAGTTCTCCCATTCCTTTTGTTTGTTTTGCTTTTGTTTTTCCAGACAGGGTTTGTCTGTGTAGCTGTGGCTGTCCTAGAACTCTTTCTGTAGACCAGGCTGGCCTCGGAGTTCTCCCGTTCTTGTGACAACCTGGACTTCCTGCCCTTCCTTTGAACTTGGGTTTCCTTTGGGGGAGGGGTTGCTCTGAATCACCCAGGGCCACAGTGAGCAGCCTCCAGAGGTAACCCTGGGCTATGCAGACCCTCAGCCAATTTCCCTTGTCTCCACTCCTGAGCCCTTCTGGCTTTAGGGTTTTGGCCTGAGTTGATAGGTTGAAAGGTTAATGGTGACCCCGAGAAACAGAGGCTGTAGAGTATAGCAGCCCCTTTATCTGCAGGGGGTACAGTCTAAGAGACTAATGATGCCTGAGTTGTAATGCATCCTGTATACACAGACTATGATGTTTAATTCATAAATTAGATCCAGTAGGAGATAAACAGTAAAGCAGGACAGACATAACAATATAATATATCGAAAGTTATTTCCAAGTAACAGTTGTGAGCTGCCATGTGGGTGCTTGGAATCTAACCTGGGTCCTCAGAAACAGCAGCCAGTGCTCTTAACCACTGAGCCATCTCTCCAGCCCCTTCCTTGCATTAATTTTCAGGTCGTGGTCAATGGACACAGTAGGGAGGGAAACTGTGGGAAAGGGAGAAGAGACAGAGTTTCTGTGAGGACTGACTGGAGCTTCTAGATCCCAGACGTGGGCAGGGCAGTGGGGGATGGGAAGAGGGTGGACAGAGAAGACAGGAGAGGCCAGGTGAGGAACGTGACCATGTGGGTGGCTGGAAGCTGGCAGGAAGCCGAGAGAGACTGTGCCTCCTCCAGCCTGGCTGTCTTGGCCAAGGTCTGACAGTAACAGGGAGGAATGTGAAGAAGAAACGAGACAGACAGAGGATTCCTACTCTGGTGCTCCAGGGAAGTGATACTGGAGAGAGTTCTGTTTTCTCCCCACCCATTTGGGGATGCCCACATTCTCAGACCACAAAGGCTCCTTTCCCTTGTCTTGTCCCTGCCACTCTTTGCCCTGCCTCAGCCTCAGCCTCACTCTTTCCCCAGGTCCTAGCTGGGGCCTGAGAGTCTAGGGAGGGGCTGGGCAGGTACCACAGGTTCCACTATTCTGTCTCTGTGTGAGGACTCAGGGTGAATGTTCGGCTTGCTTTTCCATAGGGAATTCGTAGGTGAGAGCAACTGGGAACTCCCGGCACTGAGCCACCTGCAGGGGACCATTAATTTACTCTTTCTGTTAGTTTCCTGTTTGATCTTTACAGACCTTTGAAAGCAGGCAATATTTAAAATAATCCCAGGGGGCTGGAGAGATGTCTCATCAGTAAAGGGCACTAACTGCTCTTCCAGAGGACCTGGGTTTGCGTCCCAGCACCTACCATGGATGCTAACAACCATCTGTAACTCCAGTTCCAGGGGAATCCAAATGCTCTCCTCTGGCCTCTTCGGGAACTACATGCATGGGTTGTACTTACACACATGTAGGCCAAACACACATACACATAACATTAAAACAATGAAAGTACAGAAATAGGCTGGAGAGATGGCTCAGCAGTTAAGAGCACTGGCCATTCTTCCAGAGGTTCTGAGTTCAATTCCCATCACCACAAGGTGGCTCACGACCGTCTATAGTGGGATCTGATGGCCTCTTGGGGCATAAAGTCATATATGCAGGTAGAGCACTCATATACATGAAATAAATCTTTAAAAAAAGAAAAGTACAGAAACAGTCCCAGTAGAAAGGGAAATAATTCGGTGCCACATCACACCTGACCAGCAGCCCAACGTGTTCAAGACCCTGCCTTCCAGTGCCCTGCACCCCCACCCTCCACTTTAGAGGCAAAGAAAGAAATCACAGTTTAGAGAGGGTTGGTAAATTGGTCAAAGCCCCAGGATTAGGCAGGATTTAAACCACTGACATGTCAGTTCCAGGGCCAGGGTTATTCTGTTGCCCCAGTCCACTGCCCAGTCAGGGCTTGTACTTGGGCCACTGCTGTCTGCAGGGCTCCCCGGACCTTCTCTCTTCCCAGCCCCTCCTCTAGCCACCAGCAGGAGTGAAGGATTGGTGGTAGCCTGCTGCACATGGTTGTTTAGACTTAATTAAGCTTAAATAAAACAAACAAACAAACACCTTAATGAGTTACACCAGTCCTGTTTTAAGCGTTTGTAGCCTGTGTGGCCTGGGGAGAGCTGGGGTCTCAGAACCGACACAGGCAGTATTCACTATAACAAGGGCCGGAACAGGGAGAAAGGGAGGACCAACCGAAGGGACGAGGGACAGAGATGCCCTTGTGAAGAAGTTTGGGCGAGGGGAGGAGGGAGGGAGTGGAGGACAAACTCACTTAGCACCCCTCCTCCGATACTAATACTCCCACAATAGTAGTGAGGGAACTGGCTGGGGCGGGGCCCAGGCTTCAGCAGGAGGCGGGACCTTAGTGCATGAGAAACCATCTCCCTCTTTGTGGGTCCCAAGGTTCTGACCCTCCTTCCTTCAGGGAACCAGGAGCTGGCTGGCCCTTCTTATCCTACTGAGGACAAACCTCAGATGCTTTCTGATTGTCCATCCAGGCCAAGGAGCAGGCTAATGGGACACCTGGCCACCACCTTCCCAATTAGCCTCGTTGGCCTCTTGCTCATCCTCCTGAGTCTGGGTCACTACCATGGCACAGGGACTGTGAGTGGCCCGTGAGTCACTGAGGCCCAGCTATGACAGGGGTCCCAACCCAGACCTCTCCCTTGTCCAAGCTCTGGTAAGCACTGTTCCCCCACTTCCATCTGTCCCAAGAGACCCCAGAAAGGAGCCCCCAGGTTTTCAGTGTGTGGAGGTCATTTCTGAGCAGGGAAAAGGGATTGCTTGTGGACGGGACACTTTAAGACTGGAAGGTTGATGCTCAGGCAGTGGCTCTAAGGGTGAGCAGAATGAGGGTGGATCTTCAGATCTGAAGCAGGAGGAGAAGACTGAGTGACGGAATCCCAAGGAAACAAGAAAGTGGGGGTTACAACATGAGCCCCAGCAGAGCTGCCAGTATTGTGGGGTAATTTGGGGATGGGAAGGGGCAAAGAACTTCTTGGTCAGGAGGGAAAGCTGAGATGCTCATTCTTCCAGTGGAGGGTTGCTGGGGAGATGGGACTCGGGCAGGCAGGGAGGGAAGAGCAGGGTTGACTGGATCCCTCGGAGAGAGGTGGTGGACCCAGGGCAGGGCACCTGGTTCTAGGTTAGACAATGAGGAACTAGGGGAGGCCAGCCAGGATAGGGGCTAGTGCCCAGTGGCCTCAGGTCCCCTGCAGCCACCAGCATTGCTGAGTAGGCACACATGACACCTGATTGCTTCAGCCTCTCCGGCCACACCAACTTCCCTCAGGCAACCTCCCTCTCCACCCCTCCTCCTCCCGACAGTGACTACTGCCCAGGGAATGTCCAGCCCAGGCATAAAGGTCCCGGTATCCATGGGCTTCTGTCAGTCAGGAGGCCACACCGTGCACAATGAACTCCTCTCGGGCACCCGGGATGGGGCGTGTGGGAGGGCACGGGCTGATGGCATTGCTGCTGGCCAGTTTCATTCTTCCAGGTAGGACTCTGGGGCCTTGGGAGAGGGGCAATATGGGACACAGGCCCTAGGTCGGAGAGGTTGGGGGCATCCAGTGCCTGCAGCACAGGGCCCAGGAGAGAGCCACGGGCAGGGCCCTAGAATCTGACCTTTCTATCTGGGACTGCTCCCCATCCTTGCCTGGCTACCTCCCTGTGGCCACTGCACACAAATTCTTTTTCCTTTGCTCCTCAGTGGCTGAGCAGGCAGGCGCTCTGCCTCCGAACCATCCTCCAAGTCCTATGTAAATGTTCTGCGCTTGTTTCTGGAACCTAGAAATGAGGTTAATGTCTTTTAGCCCCAGTTTCTGTATCAAGTTAAATAACAGACCTGACCTCACAGCTTCAGAAATTCCAGATGGCTATATAACTGGTGGTACCCCCACTAGAAGATACTATGTGGCTATTTTATTGCTACCATTTTTAGAGCCACTTTTTACAAGCATTGGAGATGTATTAATTAACTTGCATTTATTTACTTATGTGTTTATTTTATTTTTACTGAGGTGCTGGGAGTTAAGCCCCAGGCCTCATGCATGAACACTCACTAAGTGATCTAGTATATCCTTGGCCCTCTTTTTTGTTTGTTTGTTTTGTTTTTTGGACAATGTCTTGCTTTGTAGCCCAGCCAAGCTTCAAACTCAGCCTCCTGACAGCTAGGATGGTGGGAATGCAATTATAGGCCTACATTACTTAGACTTGTAGCTAGCACTTTAAATACATTAGTGTATTGAGGCCTGTGTGTTAGATTTGCTATTCCCACTGATTCTCAGGATCCTGGGAGGCCTGAGTGGACAGGAAACTGGTTTCAGATTGCAGTTAGAAGCAGGATGTCCAGGATTCTGAGCCCAGGATGGGTGGCTTGTGTCCTGTGCAGAGGGAAGAAGGGACAGTGGCAGGCAGGGAGGGATTGTTGTGGGGTACACCAGGGCTTCCTTTTTGAGATGAGGTTGGGGACATTGCAGGTGGTAGCAGACTGGCTGTTGGCGGGACGTTCCAGCATGAGTATTGATTATGAACTGCGATGTCTAGCTCCCTGTTTTTGGACACGTGGCCCAGAGAGATGCTATTACATGGCCTTCCTGGTGGCTCTGTGGGAAGGGCATGGCACACTTTTCCTCTTTGAATACATAAAGCAGAGAAGAGTAGTCACTTGGTGATGTATGGCTCTGAAGGAGCTGGGGTGAGCAGAAGACACTGAGGCAAGAGAGAGGAGCATGGGGTTAGGAGCCGAGAGTCACCCAGTGGAGGGTGAATGAAGATGGGTCAAGGCAGCCGAGTCAGATGTGGGGCAGTCTGGGGGCAGCAGGCGTGTGTGAAGGCTGGGTGGGGAGAGAGGGAGTTTGATAATGGCCGTGGGGAGGAGGGTTTCATGTCCTGTCCCTGGGCTGGGACAGGGACAGCAGGGGTGGTTCAGGGTGAGGTGTCCTGTCACACTGGTTCTGAAGCAACAGGTGAGTGCCCCCACATCCTGGCCCCCACCCACATTTGTCGGCATGGCCAGAGTGGGGACAGGAAGCAGGGACTGTTTTGACCCAGCCCTTACCCAGCCTGGCTCCTCACTAGGGAGCTGGTGATGGAGTGTGCCCCTCTTTGTATAGAGGTACCTCTGCACTAGCTTCTCTGCTCCTGGGCTCGTATGTTTCCTTCCAGTCTCATCACTCCCTCCCCTGTTTTGATGGTTAACGGGGGATCAAATCTATGCCCTTGTGCATGCTAAGTCAATACTCTGCCCCCAACACTTGCTTTGCCTTTTATGCTCTTCTGTTCCGTTCTGTGGTCTGACCCTACCCCAGGACTTCAGCCTCCTCACTCCCATCATGTTTTGGACTAATTCGTTCTGCCCCCACTATTTGAAGGCTACTCCTTCAATGCCTACCACTTTAGCATCTGTTTCTCTTGAAGACATTTGACCTCCTCACTCAACCCCTACTGCTAGAACAACAAAACTGCCTTGATTCTGTCACTTTCATTTTCTTCATAGACAATAATAGCCAGTTCTTCCTTTTTTCTACCTTTGTTCTACCTGGCTCCCTCTTTGGAGATACAGGAAAGATGACTGGGATGGGGTTAATGGGGCAGGAGGAGCCCCTGTTCCAATCTAGTCCTTACAGACCACTACTCTCTTTCAGGAACCTTGGCTAAGAGCATTGGGACCCTCTCAGACCCCTGTAAGGACCCTACCAGGATCACCTCCCCCAACGACCCTTGTCTCATCGGAAAGACTGGCTCCAACAGCATCAGCAGCCATGGCGGATCCAGCAGCTCCCAGGGAGGTTCTTCAAAATCTCTGATATTTAAACCAGGAACAGGGTCTTCCCAGATCTCCTATTCCTCTGGGTCTGGCTCCTTCCAGTCAGGAAGCAGCAGCAGCGGCTCTCAGTCAGGAGGCAGTAGATTTCAGTCAGGAAGCAGCGGATCTCAATCAGGAAGTAGCAGCTCTCAGTCAGGAAGCAGCAGTTCCAGATGGGTAAGCAGCAGTTCTCAGTCTGGAAGCTCAGGAAGCAGCCGGGAGGGACCAGGAAGTGGCTCCGCTCTACCAACCGATGACAATTCTTCCCGCCAGATCTCAGGCTCCTCCCAGTCTGGAGGCTCTTACTCTTCCCAGAGCTCTGTGGTATCTAGCAGCATTTCCAACCAGCCTCCCTGTAGCTCCAATGTGCCTGACTCTCCCTGCAGCGGGGGTCCTGTCATCACACACTCGGGGCCTTACATCTCCAGCTCCCACACCGTGTCAGGTGGGCAGAGGCCTGTGGTGGTAGTTGTGGAGCAGCATGGCTCTGGTGGTCCTGGAGGGGTTCAAGGCATGCCCTGTAGCAATGGTGGCCCCTCGGGCAAGCCCTGTCCTCCCATTACCTCTGTCCAGAAACCCTATGGTGGGTATGAGGTGGTGGGTGGCTCTGCCAACAGTTATCTGGCCCCAGGCATGACCTACAGTGGGGGTAAAATCTACCCCGTGGGCTACTTCACCAAGGACAACCCTGTCAAGGGCTCTCCAGGGGTGCCCTCCTTTGCAGCTGGGCCCCCAGTCTCTGAGGGCAAGTACTTCTCCAGCAACCCCATCATCCCCAGCTACAGCTCTTCCAGTTCTAGTGCCTACCCATCCTCGGGCATTGTGTTCCAGCCCGTGGGCAATGGCGGAGTCCAGCCCTGTGGCATCGGCTCTAAGGGGCCTTGCTCTGGTTCGAGAATCCAGATCACTTCCAGTAGCTCCAGTACCTCCTTCCAGCCCTGCGGCAGCGGCGTTGCTTCCCAGGGGCCCTGCTCACCACCAGGCACCGGCTCCATCTCCATCGGTGGAGGAAGCTCCTCCCTCTCCACTGGCAAAATTATCCTCCAGCCCTGTGGCAGCAAGTCTATCTCTTCCGGCTACCCCTGCCTTTCTCCTTCTTCCTCCACATTGAATGGAGGTCTGAATGGCTTTCCCCAGCGTGTCCCCACCGTGATCGCCAAGCCCTGTGGCCTCAACAGCCCTGGGAGGATGCCCTGCCGTTCCATCCGGGACATTCTGGCTCAGGTGAAGCCTCTGGGGCCCCAGTTAGCAGATCCTCAAGTCTTTCTGCCGCAGGGAGAGCCACTTGACAAGCCTTAAGTCACCCACGCCAACTGGGGCCCAGTTTCCTGCCCTCCGCCCCGGGAGGCTCTTGTCATCACTTTTGTTCAGCATCTGCAATGGTAGACTTCTCTACGGGTGCTTCCACCCCATTCCGCTGTGGTGCCCTCTCTGCCTGGCCATCCATCTTAAAGCTTCACTTATTCAGGGTCCTTGAAACACTCCTCAACCTCGGATGCCCGGACGTGTCAACCGTACCTCTGTGCATTTGCCAAATCAGGCAAAATACGGCCCATCACCGCACACTTGTTACTGACCTTTCTACCATCCCGTCATGACTCACCACAGGACTCACCACAGCCTACCAGACCCATTTCCAACGTACCGGTGCTACCTACCCCTGCTCTACACCTCAGCCCCTGTTTGGTTACCACAAGTGTTGCCCTGTGCGTGTGGACCCCAGGGCCTCGGCCGAGCCTGGCACAGACTCCTGGTTCTCTCGGGATCCTGGACAGGGCTCAATAAACTTTGTGCAGACTTTTTGCCTCAGAGTCCTAGGTCTCCTCTTTAGCACCCGGGTAGTACACCTCCTGCGCCTCTAGAGGGCCTATGTCCCCCGTTTCTATTCCTGATTTGGCTCAGTGTTTTCTGTCTTATACCTCCTCCCACGGAGAAGGGAAACAATAAATATTGATTGAACTGGCAGCAGAGTTGCTTGGTGTCCGGATTCTTCTTCTCTAAGTCTCACTTCTCAGTTCCAAGAAATCTGTTCCCACTCACGCCGGAGTCCCCCCACCTCCCTTCCATCCAAAAAGCCCTCATTATTTTCTTCTCTCCCACCTAGGCTTCTCCTACATTAGTGTGCCTCACCTTCTAAACACCGTCCACTCTGGGAGTCCCTAAGGTCGATCTTGAGTATCTGGGACGCTGGACCAGCCCAGGCAGATTCCTGGAGACTGAGCAGGAGCCTGGGTGTTCTGGGAGCTGGGGGCGGGGAGAGTAACACAACATCCCTGTGTGATACAGGGCACCAAGCCTGGTGACTCACTGGCCTATTTAACACGGCTCTGTGACAGACAGAACCATCAGTGTCCTCTCCACTGCCTCACCCCTGAGTCTGCTGTGTTGAGACAGCTGTGGCAGATGCTAGCCCAGGATGGGTGTGGGTGTCCCTCATTCCATGCACAAGGCTTCCAAAGCTTTTGAGAAGGAACCTATTGCTGCCCTAATGCTGGACCTACTCCCCTCCTTTCAGGAACTTCAAGTGCAGAACCACTGGGTTTCCACTGAACTGACAACAGATGCCCCGGGGAGCTGAGCCAGCCTTCAGGGTCTGCCAGGACAAAACAGTCCTGTTTCTGTCATCACGGAGGAGTCGTTGGTCCAGGGGCTAGAGAAATGGCTCAGTGGTAAAGGGCACTGACTGCTCTTCCAGAGGACCAGGGCACATGGCCACTCATAACTGTCTGTTAACTCCACAAGATTAGACACTCTCACACAAACTTACCTGCAGGCAAAATACCAATGCGAGATGGTTCAGTGGATAAAGGTGCTTGTCCTGCAAGGCTGCTGACCTGAGCCTGATGCCCAGAACCTATGTAAAAATAAGAAGAGAGCCAACTCCACAAATTGCCCTTGGACCTCCACATGCATGCTGTGGCACACACCCACCCACATACACATCATACATGGATATAATAATAAGTTTTAAAAATTAAAAAGGCAATTAAATACTTCTTGTTAACTGTGTCTGGTAGGATAGGCCTGTGATCCCAGCTGTTTGGAAGCCTGAAGCAGGAAAATAACAAGTTTGAGGTCAGCCAGAGAACTTATTTCACAAAGTGAAAAGGGGGATGGGGTGGAGTTTAGTGGTAGAGTGCTCACCGGGCAATTATGAGGACTTGGGTTCAATTTGTAGTATTTTAGTATTCCAAAAACAATAAAGCCCTTTTTATTATAAAATTTCAAATATATGTGTGAATTATTTATATTTTTGAGATAATGTTTGACGTAGCTCAGCCTGTCCTTGAACCTCCTATGAAATCCAGTGCCCTGGCTAGTTTTATGTCAGTTTAACACAAGTTAGAGTCACCAGAGAGGAGGGAGCCTTAACTGAGAAAATGCCTCCATAAAATCAGGTTGGAGGCAGACATGTAAGGCATTTTCTTAATTGGTGATCTATGGAGGAGGGCCCAGGACATTGTGGATAGATCCATCCCTGGGATGGTGGTCCTGGGTTCTATAAGAAAGCAGGCTGAGCAAGGCATGAGGAGTAAGCCAGTAAGCAGCTCCCCTCCATGGCCTCTACCTCAGCTCCTGACTCCAGGTTCCTGCCCTGTGTGTGTTCCTGTCCTGACTTCCTTCAATGATGAATAGTGCTGTGGAAATGTAAGCCAAATAAGCCCCTTCCCCAATTTGCTTTGGTCATAGTGTTTCATCATAGCAATAGAAACCCTAATTAGGACACCAAAGATATCCTTAAACTCCTAATCTCCTGTCTCTACCTCCTGTGTTGAGATTGCCGGTAAACACCACCATGTGCAGTTTTACATGGCACATGAATGGGATTCAGGGAACCATGCATGCCAGCCAGGCCACACCCCCAGCACCACAAATACATTTGTATTATTCACTTTCTGTTGCTATAATAAAACATATGAGACCTGGAAATGGGTAACCATAGAGGTCAATTTCACGCATAGGTCTCATTTCTTTACTACGTTTTCTTTTCTAGCTCAATTTTCAAAGTTCAAGAGCATGTTCTGAACATCACAAAGGCATTGAATGAGAGGAAATGTCACATGGCAGGGTAGGAAACCAGAGGGGCTTGGGCTTACTTGTTGGTTTATCATCATCATCATTTTATCGACTTTTTTTGGTTTTGTTTTTTAAAAGATTTTATTATGTGTACAATGTTCTGCCTGCACGCCAGGAGAGGGCACCAGATCTCATTACAGATGGTTGTGAGACACCATGTGGCTGCTAGGAATTGAATTCAGGACCTCTGAAAGAGTAGCCAGTGCTCTTAACCTCTGAGTCATTTCTCTAGCCCCCATTTTATGTTTGTTTTTGTTTTGTTTGTTTTTTCAGACAGGGTCTCTATGTAGCCCTGGCCTGTCCTGAAACTTCCTGTGTAGACCAGGCTGACCTTAAACTCACAGAGATCCATCTGCCTCTGCCTCAGGAGTGCTGGGATCAAAGGTGTGATCTACCATGCCTGGCTGTTTTGAAATTTCTGCAGTGCTGGGGACTGAATTCTTGCATTCCGGGAAAGTGTTCTACTGCTGAAATATAAAAAAATAAAAACAAACACAAAGCCAAACACCCCAAAACTTTAAAAGTATTAGTGTTAAGATCTATTTATTTATTTAGGTTTATTTGTTTTTTCTCTGTATCTTTGGAGGCTGTCCTGGAACTCACTTTGTAAACCAGGCTGGCCTCGAACTTACAGAGATCCCTGCCACTGCCTCCTGAGTGCTGGGATTAAATGTGTGTGTTCGTGCATGTGTGTGTATGTGTGTTTGTGTGTGTGTGCATGCGTGCACACACATTATGAGTTCTGGTACCTGAGGGCATTGGAAGAGGGGGTCAGATCCCCAAGAGCTGAAGTTACAGGTGGTTGTGAGCCTCTCCATGTGGGTGCTGGGAACGGAACTCTGGTCCACTGCAAGAACAGCAAGGTGTCCTAAGCCATGGGCCATTGCTCTAGCCCCCCTTTCTCCCCTTTTAACCTTTTTCTTTTGAGCCAGGTCTCACTGAGCTGCCCAAGCTGGTCTTAACCTCACTCTGTATCCCAGGTTGGGCTTGAATTTGTGTACCTCCTACTTCAGCCTCCAAGGAGTTGAAACTATAGGCCTCAGAACATCAGAGACAACGAGGCTCACTCTTCCAATAGCAATCTCCCTCCTAGCCTCTTAAAGGTCCCACATCTCTCAATATCCCCACACTAGAGACTGGTGAGGGACACCCTCAAAACATATGCAGACCGTAGATAGCATCTACATTTAAAACTAGTGGAATCACTAATGAGCTCCCATCACCCCAGTGCAATGAGGTCCATGCCATGCCCTTCTGGAATATGGAGTAGCAGTTGTCAATTATGAGGGGCCAGCTTGGTAGGTAATGGTCGACACCTAGTAGTCAGCTGTTCATCTGACTGAAGCACTTAGATGTCCTTCTCTGGGGGTGCTTGGATACACTACTGACACTGAGTGTTTCTTACGTCCCCCCTCCACTTTTTCTAGATTTATAATTTATGTGTATAAGTGGTTTTCTTGTATGCATGTGTATGCACCATGCGCATGCCTGATGACCACAAACACCAGAAGAGGGCATCAGATCTCATGGAACTGGAGTTAAGGGAGGTTGTTAACTGACATAGGTGTGATGGGAACAAAACCCCGGTCATCTGCAAAAGCAACAATTACCCTTAACTGTTGAGCCATCTCCCCAGCCCTGTTTCTTTTCTTTCTTTCTTCTTCTTCTTCCTCTTTTTTTAAGCTTTGTAGACTTTATTTTATATACAGCGTTCTGTATGCATGAATGCCTGCAGGCCAGAAGAGAGCACCCGATCTCATTACAGATGGTTGTGAGCCACCATGTGGTTGCTGGGAATTGAGCACAGGTCCTCTGAAAGAGCAGCCAGTGCTCTTAACCTCTGAGCCATCTCTCCAGCCCCCAGCCCGATTCTTATAGTCTTTGGATATGTCTGACCACCTGCATTAGGCAGAATGCAGCGCCACCAAAGGCGTCACCATCCCAATCCTTGGAATTTATAAATATGTTAGGTTACTCGGCAAAGGGAAACAAGCCTCCTGATGTAGTTCAGGTCATTAGTCATCTGACCTTACCATAAAGGGATTATCCAGGATTATCTGGGTGGGTCCAATGTAAACACAGTATTTAAAATGTGGGCTTGGGAGGCAGAGGAGGAAGCCGGATGATACAGTGTGGGAAGAGGCTTGGAAGGTGGGGGAAGAGACCAGAAACACAGGTGGCCCTGGAAACTGGAGAAAGCTGAAAGTGGAGTCTCTCTAGAGCGACTAACAGGAGTCAGTCCATCAGGTCCCTTGATATCAACTCAGAAAGACCCATTTCAAACTTTTGTTCTAAAAAAAAAAATGGTAGCAGGGCTGGAGAGATGGCTCAGTGGTTAAGAGCATTGGCTGCTCTTGAGAGGACCAGAGTTTGGTTCCCAGCACTGACAGCAGGCTCCTCACAACTGCCTGTAATTCCAGCTCTAGGAGTCTGACGCCCTCTTCTGGTGTCTGTGGGCATTACACTCACATGCACGGCTCCACACACCAGCTCCAACACACTCACATTCACACATACATAATTAAGAATAAAATAAGGAGCTGGGTGGTTGTGTTGCATGCCTTTTATTCCAGCATTCAGGAGTCAGAGGCAGGTGAATCTCTGTGAGTTTGAGGCCAGCCTAGTCTACAGAGTGAGTTCCAGGACAGCTAGGGCCACATAGAGAAAAACCTGTCTCAGGAAAAAAAAAAAAAAAAGACAACAAACAAACAAGAACCAAAAGGAATAGAACAAGGGCTAGAGAATTAGCTGCTCTTGCAGAGGAACTAGATTCAATTCTTAGCACCCACGTGATGGTTCACCAATGTCTGTAGCTTCAGTCCTAGGGGTTCTGAAGCCTCCTCCTGACCTTCCAAGACACCAGACACGTGTGTGGTGAACACACACACATGCAGGCAAAACACTCATACACATAAAATAACAAAATGAATACAATCTAAGAAACAGTTTTAAAATCTTTTACAAGCTTGGTCACTGTGGAGTTTTGACAGCACAGGCCTACCATCCCAGCACTGTGACAGGAGGGCGGTGAGTGTGTGTGTGTGTATGTGTGTGTTGGTTTTTCAAGACAGGGTTTCTCTGTGGCTTTGGAGGCTGTACTGGAACTAGCTCTTGTAGACCAGGCTGGTCTCAAACTCACAGAGACCCGCCTGTCTCTGCCTCCCAAGTGCTGGGACTAAAGGCGAACACCACCAACACCCAGCGAGGATGGTAAATTTGAGGCCAGACTCATCATGAGACTCTGTCCAACTACGTCCACCCCAACTTCATCCCCCAAAGAAATCAACAAAATAGGAAACAAACAAATGAAACAAAACAAGACAAAGTGAAAATAAACCCACGATATAATACAACATGTGTTGGGGATCGTCAGCTTTGTTAAAGGAACAATGGAAAATTAATATATCACGTTATAAGGCTGGGGGAAAAACCTGTTTCTTCAGACTGAGGGCTTCATCTAGGACCAGCACCTAGATGGGGAGTTTTGCGCCCCAGAACTTCCAGCTTTTCAGCATCCAGGGGAAGATGTGAGGATCTATGAGCAAGGGGTGCTGGAGTGAATGAGGCACATTCCCAGAGGAGTCAGACCGCTGAGTGTTGCTGATGCTGAGAGACGGTGAAGGCACCGGCATCCTAAGGCTTGGTGCAGAGACAAACCAGGGCAGGGCTGGCAACCAGGGGTGACCTGTGGACCAGAGCACCTGGATGAGGAAGGGGCAGGGAGGACAAGGAAAGGAACCAGGTGAGGGAACACCCAGTTCCTCTGGGACATTCAAGTGACACCTGTTACCACAGACCGAATCAAGAATGAGGGTGGAATGGGCAGATCTATTGTCTCTACAATCACTGGCCCAGCCTGTTTCTGCTGTCCCCCACCCCACCAACGGGATAAAGCCTGCGGTCTCGGAGCCAGGGAGATGCTGGAGCTGAGCAAAATGCAGGGCCTCGCAGGTAGGAGCTGGGCTCCCCTGGGCCTACTCCTGGTCTGTCTGTCTCTGCCAGGTATGCAGGACTGGGGTCCTTGGGTATCGGGGTTAAGGGAAAGAAAGGGGAAAGGTAGGAGGGTGTGCACTTGAGTCCCTAGGGAAGTAAGAAAGCTGCAGTCCAGAAAGGGTTTTTTTTTTTTTTGCGAAGGGGAGCAGGGAGTCAAAGGAGTAGCTGGTACCAAATCTGATCCACTGCCTGCTTTATCTTTATCTTTTTCCCCCCCCACCAGGCCTCTTTGCACGAAGCATTGGGGCACCAGAGGAGAAAATCTCCCCACATTCGGGAAAACCATCCTTCACCAGCGTCTTCAAGCTTGGGACAGCTGGCGTGGAACAGCCTCAGCCCAAGCCAGACCCTGAGAATAATGAACTACCAAGGGCTCTTCCAAGGCTCCCTGAATCCCCACCAGATGGCGCTCTACCCGAGGAGAGCTCAGAGGAGCCCAGCCAGCCTTTCTTCTGGGAGGGGTCCCCCATGGAGTCTTGGCTTTATGAGGACCCTCAGCCAGGGATGGAGGTTGCTGACGAGGACCACTTCGAGCAAGTGCTTCCAGAAGCCGTACCATACCTGCCATACCTTTCTAGGGGAAGTCCCGGACCTGTGGCTTCCTCTGCATCGGAGGCTTCTGACCCCGAAGACTTAGAGCCTGATTCCAGTCCACTGAGAACTGAGGCAGATGCCTTTGCCCAGCACCCATTCTGGTTTTTCATCCACAGGTTGCTGCCTGGTTTTCCCTGGCGGATCCTAAGTCCCAGTGTATCTTGGGGAGGTGGAGGGGCGGGAACTGCGTGGGGAAGAAGGCCCATGCCATACCCTTCTGGAATATGGGGTAGCAATGGTCAATTATCAGGTACCAACTTCGTGGGCAATGGTCGATATCCTGTGGGTAGCTGGGGAGGCAACGGTCGGTATCCTGTGGGAAGCTGGGGAGGTAATGCTTGGAATCCTGCAGGAAGCTGGGGGGGTAATGCTTGGAATCCTGCAGGAAGTTGGGGGGGTAATGGTTGGAATCAGCTTCCCCCAGGAGTCAGACCACCTCGACCTAATCGGCTTCCCCCAGGAGTCAGACCTCCTCGGCCTAATCGGCTTCCCCCAGGAGTCAGACCTCCTCGTCCTAATCGGCTTCCCCCAAGAGTCAGACCTCGTCCCAATCGACTTCCCCCAGGAGTCCGACCTCCAGGACCTTCTGGGAACATTCCAAACCTCAGTTTCCAGTGAGCTCAGCAGAAGCCCCATGAGTCTGGGTCACATGGTTTTCCCTTCTCGTCCCCCATTTTGATGCTTCCTCTGTTGACCTAAGCCGGTCGCCAATAAACACAAGCAGTTCTTGAATTCGATGTCTCTCTGTGTCTTTGTTTCTGGGCGTAATAGCGGTGTGCCTGGGCGCTCCTGTCTCTCTAGGGGTCTACTATAGAGCCCATCTTGTTGCCCCCATCTTTGGGGGTGAGAGATCAAAACCCAGTTATTTGATCTCCATGCTTTCACCCCTGGCCAATGGGAGAATTGGTCCAGAATGGTCCTGGGAGGAGCTGAGAGTTCACCTGTGGCAGGAAGGAGGCAGAAGGTCCACCAAGCTGGCACCAGGCCAGGAGGGACAAAAAAACCTTTCAGAGAACACAGGGCCAGTGAAGGTCATGGCCTATGCTTATCTTTTATTCCCAGACGGTCAAACTTCTTAGAAGTGGAAGGGGCATTGATCTCCCTCACAAGCACCACTTAGTGCTTTGTGTGTGAAGAGACACAGACTTTGAACATCTGCTGAATAAACAGCAGCCCTGATCAAGCCAGAGAGAAAAGAGAAGACAGACCTCCGAGCCAGCAAACACTGGTGGCAACATCTGTTACTTTGTTCTCATGGGCTCACAATCCCTTCCTTTGGGTGAGTAGGCGTCTCTCCCTCCACCCTTGGTTTTCTCAGGAGCCCAGCATCCTGGTCCAGGAGGGGAGTGAGGGCAGTGTGGGTTGGATCTCACAAAGGAGTCACTGGGGACATATGTGACTACGTTTTCTCCACTGTGTACTTTGCCCTCCGTGGTCCATGTGTGTGTACCCTTGATACAGCCTGGCATGGCCCCAGATCCAGGAGGCTGAGCAACTTGTAGGAGAGAAGCAGGGGGAGCCTGAGGGATGGGAGCCACCTGCACGAATGGAAGATGCTGTCCTGGTGTCCGCAGTGAGAATTCCTTGTCAGGACACTTCCTCATGAACGAACCACACCTTTTCCCTGTCGCCTCAACTCATCTCTTTCCTCCACAGACTCTTTATCTTTCTGTCCTAGGGTACCACTAGGGGGTTGTTTTTAGCTTTTCTTTTCAACTTGCCCTTGCCCAAGGTCATTTCAGGATCGCAAGCTCATTTCTTGTTCTAGTTGCCCACTTTGCTATAGTCACTCCTATATGCATTTTAAAGTTATGTGTCTGTGTCACAGACACATTGTAATTGTACCAGCCAGAGGAGAACCTCAGATGTTCACTCCTACATCTCTAGAACAGTGTCTGGACCAGGGCAGGCACTCAACAAACACTGAATGAGTCGGCAAGTCCTCTGTCAGTCTATCTGTCCAGCAGTTCACCTGTCTGTCCATCCGTCCATCCACCCATCCATCCATCTATCCATGCATGTACCTCCCCATTCTCACCCCCGCACAAGCAACACTGAAATGGTGTGGTCTCACTATGTTTTACAGATTTGGTCTCCAGCATGACTGGCACCCTTAGGAGATAGCAGAAGCACAAAGAGGTAGGGCTTAGCAGGGAGGACATCAGGTCATTGGGGAGAGGTGCTGTTAATAGGATCACAGGACTGTGCCCCCTTTTCCTCTTTCTGTCTGGTTTTCTGTGAAGTGAATGGTTTGGTTCAATAGCATGCTCCCACCTGATATGCTGCCTCTGGATAACTGGCCCCAAGACAACAGGGGCAACCCTCAAAACAGTGAGTTCAGGTAAAGCTTTTCCTCTGCAGCTGCCTAAGTCTCCACGGAAACTGATCCTAACTGCTGCCATGCTCCTGGAACCTCATGGAACTGTTCTTGGCTCATGCTACATTCTGCACATCTCATCGTTTCACCCTCATTATTACCCATGACGGGAGTCTTTAACGATCATTTTCACCCACGGAGAAACAGAGTCAGAGACATGAAGCAACTTACACAGGTCATGGGTGACAGAGGCAGTGACTTCAACCCATTTTCCTCATCTATCCAGGGAGTGTTCTGATACAAATGCAATTAGCAGAAATACCAGCTAACTTTTATTATGTGCGCCAGATGGGACAAGGTGTTTGTGCACACATCCTTCCAGCTAATCTTCCCAGAAATCCCCTCAGGAAGGAGCTGCAGTGACCCTTATACAGGGAGATACTGAGGTCCAAGCAGGGTGGACCGAGGGCTTGCACGCAGGGCAGGCAACACTGAAGAGGAGGTGGTGAAGCTGGCCTTGGCAAGTATTGATGGTGACTCCTCGAATCTGGGAATGCAATGCTAGAGGACTATGAGTATCTGTGTCAATCATGTCAGAGTGGTCTTAAATGTTTTTTATTTTTATGTGTATGACTGTTTTACCTTCATGTATATATGTGCACCACGGATATGTGGTACCCAATGAGGTCAGAATAAGGTGCTGGATGCCTTAGAGGTGGAGTTACAGTCAGCTTATTTGGCTTATACTTCCACATCACAATCCATCACTGTGCTGGCTGGTTTTGTGCGTCAATTTGACACAAGCTGGAGTCATCAGAGGAAGGACTCTCTGTTGAGGAAATGCCTCGATGAGATCCAGCTGTAAGGCATTTTCTCATTTAGTGATCAATGAGGGAGGGCCCAGCCCCTGGCAGGTGGTGCCATCCCCGTGGGTTAAGCAAGCAATGGAAAGCAAGCCAGTAAGCAGCCCCCTCCATGGCCTCTGCATCAGCTCCTGCCTCCGGGTTCCAGCCCTGCTTGTGTTCCTGTCCTGACTTCCTTCAGGAAACTGCAATGCTGAAATGTGAGCCTAATAAATGCTTTTCTCCCCAACTTCGCAGCAATAGAAAAACCCAAACCAAAACAATCACTGAGGGTAGTCAGGGCAGGAACTGAGGCAGAGACCATGGAGGAGTGCTGCTCGCCTGGCTTACTCAGTTTGACTTCTTATACAACCCAGGACCAACTGGTCAGGGCTGGCACCAGCAACAGTGGGCTGGGTCTTCCCACTTCAATCATTAATCAATAAAATGCCCCATAGACCTGTCTGGCATGCATAGGGCCTTGAATTTGGTCTTCAGCACTGGAAATAAAGAGCTAATTCATCTGTTGTCGACAACCTTTAAAGATATATTTGATATGCATATAATGTTCTGTCTGCATGAATACAATGCCTGCATGCCAGGAGGAGGCACCAGATCTTATTATAGATGCTTGTGAGCCACCATGTGGTGCTGGGGATTAGGCTCAGGTCCTCTGGAAGAGCAGCCAGTGCTCTTAACCTCTGAGCCATCTCTCCAGCCCCAACAACCTTTAAATTAGACAAATGATATAAAACTACCAAGTTTGCTGACTTAAATCTATATATCTATATCTATATATAGTGTATCTTACTTAATTTTTTGTTTTTGTTTTTGAGGCAGGGTGTCGCATAGCGCAGACTGGCCTTCCACTAGCTATGTAGCTGTGAACTCTCAGCACTCATACCTCTCTACCTCCCAGTGCTCATATATATGCACATATATATATACACATACATGCATACACACATATACAAGCATATATGTACATATATATTCTTTAACAATTTTGCCAGGCATGATGGCGCATACCTTTAATCCCAGCACTCAAGGGACAGAGGCAGGTGGATCTCTATGAGTTCCAGATTACACAGTGAGACCTTGTCTCAAAAGTTTTTTTTAAAAAAATATTTTGTGTATACTTGGGGGGAGAGGTGCTGTTAATAGGATCACAGGACTGTGCCCCCTTTTCCACTTTGCTGTCTGGTTTTCTGTGAGGTGAATGGTTTGGTTCAATAGCATGCTCCCACCTGATATGCTGCCTCTGGATAACTGGCCCCAAGACAACAGGGGCAACCCTCAAAACAGTGAGTTCAGGTAAAGCTTTTCCTCTGCAGCTGCCTAAGTCTCCACGGAAACTGATCCTAACTGCTGCCATGCTCCTGGAACCTCATGGAACTGTTCTTGGCTCATGCTACATTCTGCACATCTCATCGTTTCACCCTCATTATTACCCATGACGGGAGTCTTTAAAGATCATTTTTCACCCATGGTGTGTCATCTGTGTGTCTGTGTGCATGTCTGTCTGTGCACCACAGGCATGTAGAGCTGGCATCATAGGCAGTTGTGAGTCCCTGAATGTAGGTGCTGCAGCTGACCTGGGACCCCCTACATTACCCATTCTCAACTGCTGAGTTTTCTTCTGATTCCACGTTTACCATTTCAAATGGTTTTCTGGAATGGTGAAGGGGCTGGGAGGGAATAAGTGTGGGTGATCCAGGAGGTAGATCAGGGTGCTCTTAGGAGCTTCCAGAGGGAAAATGCCCTGTGTGTACGCAGGGCAACTGAGGCACCTGAAGCTTGCCAGGGACTGACTCCAGCTGGGCAAGTTATGCAAGGAAATGACTCCTCAGATGTTTCTGTAGGGCCCAGCCTGGCGCATGCATGAGGGAGGCACCTTTGTATAATTATTAAATTTGTTTCCTGTTTATACACTTCTTTTTCACATGGGGATCCCCGTGACTCCAGCCTGGAGCTTAGTCAGTCTTCTAATTGTCTCTCCCGGACAGGCCCTGCCACCTCCGGTCCTCCAAGGCAGCCATCACACCACTCCCTGCTTTTAAAGGCTAGCTGGCTGCAGATCAGGAGCTCACACAAAATGTCAGTCCTGGGCATCCAGCTGACCCTCTGATTTTGCTCCTCAGCCCTCACCTTGGGCAGGCGTGGTGGTCAGGAATGGCATTCAAATGTTTGGTGAGTCAGAATCCGTTTATAAATGCTTGCAGGTGCCTGCCCACTGACCGGCCTGCTGACCTGCCCTTAAAGCCGGGATCACTCTTCACCCTGCCCCATCATCTGCCCACCTCTTCCTCTGTCTAGTAAATGGTCCATCCACCCACTAGATTCTGGTTCCAGAAGTTTCTAGTTCACAAAGTCTGGGGAACCTTAGGGAGTATGGGATTGGGACAGAAGGAGGGAAAAAGGGAACAGAGGGGGAAACTGAAGAAACGGAATTGTCCTTG